TTTTTTTTTTTTTCTGTTTTTGTTTCGTTTTGTAGCCTTGACATTCACCTCCCTTATGTAGTTGAAATATCTAGCTAACTTGGTCTTTTTTGTTGTTTGTTTTTACTCCTTATTTCCTCACTTTCTCCAGTGCTCAACTGTTAGATATTAATCTTGGCAAACTGCTTAATCTTGTGGATTTTGTAGATGGTTTCAAATGACTGAGTTGCATTCAGATTGACGAGTGAAAGGAAAAATTTGCATTAGTTGGTTGCATGAACTTTGAAGGGCAGATATTACTGCACAAACTCTGCCATCTCGCTTCATTTTTTTTAACTATGCATTTGAGTACAGACTAATTTTTTAAATATGCTAAACTGGAAGATTAAACAGATGTGGGCCAAACCGTTCTGGATCAGGAAAAGTCATACTGTTCACTTTCAAGTTGGCTGTTCCCCCTCCCCCATATGTACAGACAATAATAGGGTGTGGAATGTCGTCAGTGGCAAACATTTCACAGATTTTTATTTTGTTTCTGTCTTCAACATTTTTGACACTGTGCTAATAGTTCTATTCAGTACATGAAAAGATACTACTGTGTTGAAAGCTTTTTAGGAAATTTTGACAGTATTTTTGTACAAAACATTTTTTTGAGAAAATACTTGTTAATTTATTCTATTTTAATTTGCCAATGTCAATAAAAAGTTAAGAAATACTTGTTTTCTAGAAGTCATTGGGGGGTGGGGGTGGTTGTTCCTTTTGGTGGCTTTTTCTCTCTGTAAGTTGAACACTTTATTGATGAGAGTAAGCATTCCAAAGGATAAATTACAGGACACTAAAACAGGTCATGATGAGCTTAAGTGGAGAGCAGGATTTAACATAATTGGCATAATGCTTCATTGTTATCATTGTAACATGCCTCTTGGTGTGGTTTAATCAGAAGCTGCAAAGTTGTCAAAGAGCATTTTTTTTTCTTAATTGTCATCATATTCAAGTGTACTCCAGAGTTAAAGGTTTGTGACACTAAATCCTATAAAAAAATTTTTTTTCACGGGATGGGAGGGGGGAACACCAAGTGTTTCTGGTGATATACCTGATTCAACTATGTAAATGCAGATCAGGATAATATACTGGGAGAATGTTGAGGATGGCATTAAACGTAAATCTCCCTTTATCTCTAGTGACGAATTTTATTTCTCAGCAAAAGTCCTAAGGAGAGGCACACATTTTCTAGCTTAATCTCTGAAATACCTTCTGACTGGTTTATAGTCCTAAGAGGAAGAGGGGCAGAATTCCACCTTGAGGCTTTCTATTTTGTTCTATAATATTTAAAATTTACACAGGGAGGTTGATTCAAAGGTCAAATTAGAGTCTTCACAAGATCTTCCCTTGCACGCATTCCCTGATTTCCAGAATTCTGAGCCTTTTCTGTTACAGACAAGGGGTGCAAAGGACATAAGGATAAGATTGTTTAATTTTACCTAAATGTTTTACCAGGAAGACATAATTACAGTTAAGTAGGTGTCGAGTTTTGCCTATAACCAAGCAAAAGAAAAAGTCATATTGTTAAAATCTCAAGTTATCCCAGCTTGGAGATGGAATTTTGTTTTCCCTTTCATGTTTTCTTAGCTTATCTTGTAAGAGCAACGTACCTACATTCAAGAAAAAATAGTCTTTTATATTTGACCCACTGAAGAAGTAAAATACAGGTTGAGGAAAATCTCACAAATAATAACTTTAAAAGAACATTTCATTCTGATCCTTAGATTCTAATCTTAAGCCCCATATTTCATAATTTAAAAAAAAAAGGAAATGCAGAAGTGTTAAATTACAGTGAGTCTGGCATAAAGGCTCATTTCAATATAATTCAGATCACCTACATTCTATAATTCTATTTCCAAGGCAAGCCATTAAAATTATGATACACACTCCACTGGGCTTGTTATACTTCTCTAATTGACATTTCCTTATTAAAAATTATGTTCTAAATAAATAATTTCTCTGAAAATTGAAAATAATTCCAAACTCTTCACCCCATTTTAAAAAGCTAATCCAGATTTCCCACATTAATAGTTGAAGCTGAAGTTTTCTTCAGCTAAGACCTGTCAATACTAAATCTGCAATCAGCAGTAAATCTTCCTGGCTAGGCATTTTTGCAGTAAGTTTTTCTTTTCCTTTTTTTTTTTTTTTTTCCAGAGGCTCAAGTGAAAAAATATGTTTGCATACATATTAATACAGCAATTCTTGTTCTTTTTCACTTGTGCCAGGAAAAAAAAAAAAAAAGAAAAGAAAAAAGAAAAAGGAAAGCTATTGGAAGCATTGTGTTTTTTCTTTTCTTTTTTTTTTTTTTCTTTTTTTTGCATAAAGAAAGAAACAAAATAATTGTCTTGCCACCACCCTTCACCATTCATTCTGCCAGGAAATAAGCCACAACACCTGCTCTGTCACTAAATTCCTCCTGCTGTTCTAACACCGGAACACGTATGTGGAGACGCGGAGCCCAAGGAACTATTATTAGATCCTGAGCCCATCTCTGCCAGAACAGAGGAGCTGATTTAAAAGCACAATTTCTCCTCAGTGCAAATACAACCCCCCTCCACCCCCTATTCATCTGAATGATCTCTATTTCATTAAAACTCTTTCTCGATCAACAATTGAGCAGATTCCATGCGATATCTGCAGGTCTCTTAAGCACAGGAAAAATAACTCCTTGTTTGAACAACCTGATTCATGAAACCTGTACAGTGACCTAGATCACCGGGCTACTGGCGGACATTTGCAAAACCTTTTGTGGTCTTGCTTCCTACTAAGTTGCTTATAGCATATGGGGAAATTTGACCTCCGTACCTTGGCTGTTTTTCAAAAAGTTCTAACATGGTACAAGAGAGCTTCTGTTCTTTAAGCTTTGCCCACAAATAGATACTCCACGCTTGATTTTTCAAGATGAGATCAATGATAAGCAAGAACATCATAGAAACAAGTCAGAAAAATAAGAACACGTTGATGAAAACTTGCACCCCTGCCTTGTGCCTGCTCGCATCCTGGTGGCGGTATTTTTGCGGGAGCTGATAAAGACGTTACATCTATGGATGGGTCTTTGAAGGACAGTTACCTAATCACCACTGTTTATGGGGTGCTAGGCTAGAGCACTGGTACCAGAAGGCTGACATCTATTGTGAAGTTTATGGTCTCCGTGACTTTTACTACTGTAAACGCCTGGGCTAGCTATAAATTGATGTCAACATTAAAGGCCAGATCCTTTAGAGCAAAATATTAATCCACTAATCTATTATGGGTGGCCGGCTTTGAAATACAAACTTTGCAGTCCCAGACCATTAGGTGTTTTCGCCCCCTTGTGGAATTTATTTATAAGGTCAAAGGAAAGCCATTTCCTTAAGAGGGTTTTTTTTTTGTTGGTGGTGGTGGTTTGTTTGTTTACCTTTTCTGAATGCTTCATTTTCTTTCTTGAAGCAAACAGCATATATTTGAGCAAGAAATTTTTTTTTTATTAAAAGAGATTTCAAAGTAAACACCCTTTATGAAAATAAGAGTATTTTCCTTACCAAAGAACTTAACTTGGGATAAGCGTACATAATTGAGATGTGCCTCACATTTCAAAATATGCATTGGCTAAGGGGTTTTCTTTTATAAAAGTATAATGAGCAAATGCTTTAGCCTGTCAGTTAAAACTGATACTCTGCACTCTCACAACAGAACTGTTGTTTTGGGACAAGTACAAATAATAATGCATTTGATGGTAAGTGTTCGGAAAGGTGGAGGGAAATATCTAGGAATGCAGAATGCGGTTATCTGTGTTGGAATGCGACCAAGCCACAGGCTCTAATCTTGTGAAAGGGCCACAGGATGTTTAATGGGAATGAGTGTTGCTGTCTAATTGATTCAGTAAAATTTACTTTAAAATAAGCTTGGCAGATAACATTGTCTCCAAAGAAAGAAATACATTTAGAATTCAAGGAATTCAGGACTCAAGCCATTGGAAATGTTCTCCTCTCCAACCGTATTGTTTTGCTAGCACAAAAGAGGTGTTACGCAGCTTCAGAGATGGTATTTATCATTTTGGTACTGTACCACTGTCATCAGAATCACAGCTGCCAGGCAGGTTAAAGCAAGACAAGGTTAAAGGTTAAAGGTTAAAGGTTAAAGCAAGGTTAAAACAATGGATAGCACATCAAGTGACTTAGCCAATGAACCCCTATCATCTTGTGTTCTGTTTGTCTTTTCCCCCCAGAATAGAAGAAACAATGGCAATGTCAGAATTTTAATTGCAATGGACTGGCTTAAATTACTTGACCTATTTTTATCCAGCTAGGAGAGAAATGATTCTGTTTTTTCTTGGCAGCAGTGCTTATCATTTAAATTAGAAAAAAGAAAGATAAGGACATTTCTCTATCAAGTAGTGTACTATTGGTAAACAGTTTTTGTTTGTTTTCTAATAAATAAGATTCCCATATATTTTTGAAAATTTTGAGACACCTGAAGTAAAGAACTTTTCCCCTTCACTGGAGAACTTAAATTTATGAGGGATGCTAAATAACGAAATGAAAATACTCTAGGAGCTGCTGCGGTGAATTCCCATAGTATTTTGATATTTATGAACATAATAAAAGAAAAACTAAGAGAAATTGGGGTCTACTGTGTGGGGGAACTGAATCCATGGTCCTTGGGAAAGAGAATATCAATCAACACCTTCCTTGCGATCTAGGAACAAATAATGGCTTTTTAGTACCTGGATCCTCATCAGCCGCCAGATGAGCATTAAAGGTGTCACAACCCGCCCCAGGAGCCAGTTGGTGATGCTTTTTGAGAATTCTGCTTGGCTAAACCAACACATGAAGAGTGAACTAAAGCAGATGCAAGACGAATGAGTACTATTACTAGCTTTGTATGTTGTTGGCTTTCATTAGGCTGAACTAATCTGAAAGATTAGTGAGGCAGGACATGACATGGGTGAGGACAGTAGGTCACAGGATTCTTGGAATTTTCCCATGGCATCATCATCGTGCTCCACCCTGAAATCCTTCCCCTTCCCTCTACAGTGGAAAGGCTCCTTGATGACATTTT